CATACTATCAATCAATCGTGTCATAATGCTGGCCATTATTTTCAATGACATGCACCAGAATATTTATAAGAAATAACATGATTTATTTTAAGGGAATTTTTTAAAAGAAAATTAGGACACCTGCCTTGACAATGGCCAATAAATAAAAATGAAATGTAATGGAGATGCGGGGTATCGATCCCCGTACCTCTCGCATGCTAAGCGAGCGCTCTACCATCTGAGCTACATCCCCTTTTGTCTTGTTTGAAAATATTATGTTATATATTAAAGTACTGAGTGCCCTGAACCTTTCCAGGCGTTAATTAACTCCAAAGCTATTTATTGTTAAATAATAACGTAAGAATAACAAAATTACCTTTGATAATTAAAATTAATCATTTTTACCCAAATTGTGCATTTTTTTATTCTATTTGAGTTCATTTGTAATTATAAAAGATTAGTATATAATGCACAAAGGTATTTATTGGTCTAATGGGAATATTAGATAATGATGGGTAAATTTTGGGTAAGCTATCTATAGTTTTTATTGAAATTATTTGACTTAATCTTTATTATATTTTATTTAATTGAGGAAAAGCCATGAGAGAATCATCTTAGATGGTTTGGTCACATTAAACGGAGGCCTTCCGATGACCCTGTTAGGAAAGTTGAGGTATTAGACTTGACTTATGTTAAGAAAGGATAGACAGACCTAAAAGGCTTAGTTAGAAAATATTAAAAATAATTTTTTTTATTAGATTTAAATGAGAAATTAACTTTTAACAGAAAAGAATGAAGAAAAAAGATTCATGTAGCCGACCCACATAGTAGGACAAAGACTTGATGTTCTTCTTGTTGTTGTTGTTGAGGAACAAGCCTATGAAATTCTAGTTGAGGAGGACCTCACACAAGAGAATGGTAATTCCAAGGCAAATGAGAAAGTGTTCATAATTAGAAAAGGTCTTGAACACTCTAGAAGAATACGAGTCAAAGGGATATTCGTTACTCCAACATGAAAATTTTCTCAGTGTTTATAATTTTGTGAGCCATTGCAATAAGGATAAATTTTAACTATAGTCCCATTATTAATTATTTTATGAAAATAGCCATACAAAAAAAAATTAAGATATGTCAAGGTTGGCATTTAGATGGGCAATTAGCTCAGCCTAAATAAACGCCACCCTAATTGATCATTAGCACAATTTTAAAAAATAAATTAGAATTAGTCACCTAATAGAAATGGGCGAGTGACTCTCTCTATAAATCGCTCGTGAGCCCTCAATCGATATTTCCCTCTTCTTCATTTGCTCGCCAATGGGACAGGTAAATATTTTTTTTTCTCTTTATTTTCTTTTCTTTAAGAAATATGTGGAATGTGATTTTGCTGGGAGAATGGATTAATTTAATTTCTGCATTTGAAAATATTAGAACTTTTTTGTTCCTTTTTGTAAGTTGGTTCAGTGTTTGATATTTTCACTAAATATAATTTTGTAAAATAGATTAATTTATTTTTATCCTATCTAATTAAATTATTAAAGTTATTTAGAAAGTAAAATTATTTAAATTAAAATTTTAGATTTAAAATGATGGATTAAGTTAATAGTTTAATTTGATAAGCAAGAATTTGGGTTATTGCCTTAAGGAGCATTGCTTGTCACCATCATTGCTCGATATTGGTGATTGTTAATATGTGAGATGTTTGAATGTGCAAATATTGAAGATGTGTAGGTCTTGTTTTTATGTACAACTTGGTATTCAATGATTTATAAGTGTCTTTAAAGTAATCATATTGGAGGCTTATGCAGACTCTTACAAATCGAAGATGGAGTAGATGTTGTAAGTACTTGGACCCAAACACCTTCGTTGAATATGATGGCTGGTATTGAATGTAGTCCAGCATTGCCTGTTGTCATTGAAGGATACGAGAAAATGGCGATAGTACATCTAGTGAAGTTGATTTTGATGATGTTGATTAGGATGTGTCAAATCATGTTGAGGTGAATGTAAATGGTGATGGTGATGTTCGTAATATCATACAAAATTATTGCAATGTGATTGCACATACACTTACAGGAATGGTGTGTCAAAATGAGTATGTAGAAGCATGTAGAACAACCCAACAATGAAACCAGGGAATGACATTTGAAAGCAGTTGTGATTATAATATTGATGAAAAAGACTTTTCAATCCCATCTGAATTGGTGGAGGGGATGTGTTTTAATCAGAAGTCAAATTTGTTGTTTTCTTTACACGGCTGATCTATTATGAATAATGTTTAATTTGTCGTTAATGCATCGAACAAGTAGAAGTTAATAGTTGTATGTGTTTAGTATGAAAGTGATTACAAACCTTGTATGTGGCAGTTGCATGCATGTTTGAGCAAGTGACTAGGAGGAATTTGGACAGTATCATCTATTAAGGAACATCATAGTTGCACCAATCCTATTCTTGCTATTGGCCACCATTAGTGTACCTCCCAATTCATCAATAACTTCATATTACCTATTATTAAAAATAGATGGATCAAGCCTCACGAAATTGCAGGGCGAATTGCCTTTAACATACTTGTATCTTACATTAAGGTTTATGATGCTAGGCGGAAGGCTATTAAGGTTGTTTTTGCTAGTTGGGAGGAATCATATCAATTAATGAATCTAATTATGCAGGCAGTTATGTCATCTATGCCAGAAATAGTGTATTGAATTAAATATACATATTCTCATAAGTTTCAGAGACTATTTTGGACATTTATATCTTCAATTATTGGATGGGTGTATTGTCACCCAGTACTTAGCCTTGATGGGACCTTTCTTATAAGTAAATATAGGGAGACTTTATTCATTGCAGTTTGTATGGATTTAAACAATGGTCTGTTCCTACTAGTCTTTTCCATTGTTGAATTTTAATGCAATGAATCTTGGATCGAGTTCCTGTGATTAAGCATGAGCTGCTCCCCAGTGTTACCAGAATGTCGTAGTTGTGCCTAAAATCAGATCGACATGTTGGTTTAGTACGTGGGTGTCGTGATATTTTATTGTGAAACACAAGCACAAACAAATCACTATATGAAATGAATAACATATATAAGTAAATACTCACCAAAATAACATATCCTTTCATAATTGGGTTCAATAATATCTCTCAACAATAATTAATAGTTACAAAAGATAGCACACCAGAGAAATAACATAACGAAGATTAAATTACTACTCTTCCTTTAGTAGCTTGCATATACACACTTGGAGTTGAGTTTGCGTTAGGCAACAAGCAAATTAGAATTGAAGCTCATATAGCAGATCTTGCCAATCAATCACATTTAAACACTTCCTACACTTACCTCCTGGCAACAACTTCTTCATTCTTTTTTTTTTTAATACAAGTCCAAAATAAAGGCTTCCTCGGCTATATCCCAAAGTCAATAAAGTATGAGATGTTCGAGATCACAAGGTGGTCCTCCAACATTGTTCGACATCCCACCCACCCTTTCACAACGTACCTCATGAAAACGCATTTCCATCCTTCGACATTTAGAAAATTTTCAGTTATAGTTGCCTCTCTCTTCATAGGCTTCACATGCAAATACCAAAATACATGATCCCTATCTTCGGTCCATATATGCGCGCAACATCGAAATATCTCATTGGCACTAGCCTATTGCTCAAGCATACTGTTAGAACACCTAGCCATACACTCATGGATTTGTTTGCTAATAATGTCCACCAACTTTTTCATCGGTATACAATGAGCTTTCTCATTATCCAGTCAATGCATTACAATGAACGTACAAATGGAGATGAGAAAATGCAAATGAGCCACTAGGGGAAACTACACTCAAGGTTCATAGACATATGAAGCAATACCAATTTAAATAGCTAAACTTCCACTTCACAAAGCAATGCTATGTTCTTTAGCAATAATATCTAATAAAGAATTTCAACAACCTTTCTGCCATTGGCATAAGTATCCAATGTTTCTTTTTCGAGTATGATCTCCCATCACTAACTCAGTATAGAAACAGACAAAATTTAATGCCTAAAAATCATTAAATGATTTGACAACACACAAATGATGAAAACATATTTCACAAAATTAATTCCCTCAATAAAATCATTGAACTAATAATAAAAATAATAAATTTTCTAAAAAACTCAATAACATAACCATAAGAGCTTTGCTATATATTCAAAATAACAATAAAAATAATGACAAAAAAATTACAAATGTTAATATTCACAAATTGTTCATAATTAAGAAAACTAAAATTCATAAAATTCGTACATTTGAACATCTCTAACTATTAACCTAACGCTAAGATAAAAATAATAATAATACTCTTCCAATTTTTTTTAAACAAATCAACAACAAAAAAATTCAAACCTCTCTAAATTAAAAATAAAAAAAAACTAATTGTCAAGATAAATCTATTAATAGTCAGTCACTTGTTGCCTATTCAACAGGCGACTGACTATTACAACTTAATAAAAAAAGAAAGGTTCTAACATGAAACGAGCCGACGACATTCAATTAGATTGACTCAATCGCCTGTCAAACCTCTTACTTTTGCGATTTTTAAATTTTTTTTGTGATGACTTTTATAAAATAATTAATAATGGGGCTTACTGTTAAAATTTATCCTTGCAATGATGGCAGCAATTGATAATGATCATTATTTTTAAATGCACTATTCAAACAAATATTTGTCTTATTCGAGCTCTATTCAAACAAATATTTGTCTCTCGACTTTAAATAAATTCTTCAAAATAAAATAATGGAGGTATTTTGATCTAAAATAAACTTTTATCCATATTTTTCAAAACATAAATTACTAACATATTATTATTCTATATTTAAAATAAAAATAAAAATATATTTGATATCTTAAATAAATATCATTTTTCTTTGGATTGTTCGAATGATTTTTTTTAATATTTCAAATATTTTCATAAATAATTTATTTTATTTTCAAAAAAAAAATAAAAAATAACTAAAAACATTTATTAAAGGCAAAATAAAAAATAGAATTCGGAGCAAAAACTTAGAAAATAAATAAAAGAATGAGCTGCTTGCTGTTCTTTATCAAAGCAGGACAAACAAAAACAAAAAAGAAAAAAAAAAAGCAAGACGGCTAACTAGTCGTCCAAAAGAGTCTTAAAAGCTCCTTGCCAGGGGTTGTTAGCCTGACATCTTATGCAGAATGCCGTTAAAAGATCCCAAATAAAGAAGAAAAACTTTACAAGTCACTGGCGATTGATTAAGCTTCACCAGCACCTTCACCTGCACTGATCGGCCCTCCGCCCTGTTGCGGATCTGTAAAAGACAGAGCTAATGAGATCACAATTCTAAGATTTCAAAAATGTTACGCTCTGAAGATAATTTTACAATAACAAAGCCATTCAACGGATGATATTACCTCGACCCTTTATATCTGCAGGAGCTTCCTGCTGATTGTTTGAGGGGCCGCCAGAGCCTCCGTTGCCACGGCCTCTGCGGCGGCCGGAACCACCCCTGCCATATCCGCGCCTCCTGTTGCCTTCACCTCCATCCCCGGAATCTACCATAGAAGGTCCATTTCCTGGTACAGAGATGAAAATACATCGTTTCATATATTGTGCTAAATCCTATAATAGACATTTAGAGCATCAAATTAATAGCACCTCTGCTCTTGCCTCTGCTGAGATTGCCACGGCCTCTACCTCGACGAGCAGGATAACTCTCTATGATGGAAAGAAAGCAATATTCAGTAATGCAAAACATTATGGGGGAAAAGATTGAAAATTCCGATCACTTGCTGTTTTTACCTCTCTCGCTGTCATATTTAGCGTATAATTTCACCTGATCTTCAGATAAAGTAGATTGGTATCTACAAGCAAAATTAATGTGTCCTGAGCAATTGCATAAGATCAAGAAAGAATATTTTGGCAATAAAACAAGTTGAAAATAACTTCTAGAGATTTATGACAGTTTTATCAAATATATATATAAATATATATAAAAACTAAAAAAAGTGTGCGACAAAAAATGTCTTGAAAGTAGATCCCCTGTTTTGTTTTTTGTGAAAGCATATCAAAACAATAAATCAGGTATCTACGATGCGCAAATACTTCATAATAATAAAGCATGTCATGTCGAATACTTACAAGACACATGCAATTACCCGACACATGTTCTGCACGTGTCGGATACGCCATCTGTAGAAATACCTAATCACTTCACTTGATGCATCAGATACAAATACATTTGAAAGTAGAGAGATGAGGATATGAAAATTGATAAACAGAATATGTTGGATTAGAATAAGAAGAGGATGTTACTGGAGAACAATGTAGTAATGGGGATGAAGTCTGTGGGTTGCTCGTCGAGAGTGGAGCTTGAGGCGTTGATTCAGGCGGAGGTGAGGAAATAATTGGTGGAAAATTAACTAATGTATGCTCAAATGTTGCAGTGGAAGTTTGTGGTGATAGTGGAAATGTTGTGGACTCATCAAACTACACATGGCAAGAAATTAGAATGCAACCGTTAGCTGGGTTGTAACATTTATATACTTTTTTAGAGGAAGCATAGCCAAGGAAAACACAGGGAGTGGATTGAGGTGCAAAGTTTATGTGAAGCATTGTTTGCATGGCACTATGCTCAACATGTGGATTGAGACGTGTTTACAAGCAAAACAACTTACTGGTGAAAGTAAGGAAATCATCCTTTTTGTTTTTGTGAGAGAGAGAGAAAAAAATGAGCAATTTAACATAAGTATATAATATGCCATTTATTGAAATTTTACAATCATTATATGCCATATGAATTTAACTTATGAATTACATGTGACAATTTAAGGGAGTGTAAAAAAAAAAAAAAAAAGGAGTGTAAGTGGCTGCATGCAGGATAACGTGACAAGCAACATGAGTTTCACATTTTTTTCTTGGGATAATTACAATATTAGGCTTAAGAAAATTTAAATGACTTATTTTACATAATTAATTATAAATGTCATGATTATATAATTTGAAATAAAGTATAAGATTATATAATATAGCAAGTAATCATATTATAACTTATTTAACATATTTATAAAATAGGATATCGACTCTTTTAATGCATATTCACCACTCTCCAATTTTTTTTTTAATTTATCATGCGAACCAATTCATGTGTCGTCATCCCTTCAAACACATGCCAATTTTGGATTTTTTTTTCTAGTCTGAGAACTACAACAATATTACAATATTTTTATTTTTATTTTTGACATTTCGGATACTACGACGTTGTCCATTTTGCAAATGGACGATATTCAATCAATATCGAGCAACGTTCCATCCATTGTCCTTCAATATCGATGGCCTTCGCTTGATTTGAATATAAGGTGTCCTTTACTAGTTAAATTTGATATTCTGAACACATCAACACAACCTATTTGGCAATCAGAAGCCATTCAGACAATTTTTTTATAGCATCATGCTTGCCAAAAATCATGCTCACCATCATTTTCGACCGAGTTACGCACAAATATCTCCTCTTCGATAAAATTGATGTCCTGAATGCATTGATGCGGTTATAATTGGACAAAACTTGAATGACACTTCGATCTTCATTCTAAACGATGTCTTGTCTACCAGCAATAATCGATCATCATCTCATTTGCTTGCGTTAACCATGTCACATATATGAAGGTCAACAAGCATATGGTTGGAGCCATGGAAAGCAGCAACATCCAAAAATAGAGGTTTATTGTAGAGTAACTAAAATGGAGAGAGAGAGAGAGAGAGAGAGAGAGAGAGAGAGAGGAAGTGGTGGGAGACGACATCGACTTATTAGATATTCAACAGTAAGTATAGAATCAACCCAGAAATCGGATGATAAATGTGATTCGTAGAGGAGGGCACGAACAGTTTCAAGGAGACGACGGTGCTTGCGTTCGGTGACACCATTTTGTTGAGTATGAGGACATGTCTATTGATGATGAATGCCGTGTTGAGTTAAAAATGATTTTAGAGCATGGTTGATGAATTCACTACCACCATTGGTACAAAGAATTTGTATGGTATGGTTAAGTATTTTTCAATGAATGATTTGAAATGAATAACTATTTGTGTAATTTCTTATTTTGTTTTAAGAGGATATATCAAGGTTTTAATGAGAGTAATCATCAACAAATTTCAAGTAAAAATGAAAATCGGTTTTAGAAACTAAGGAAATTGTTTAGGGGAAATTGAATTCAAATTTTATTTCTTAGAATCATTACATATATATACACTCTAGGAGAATAAATAGAAAAAAAAAAGATATTTAATCTAATTAATTATAATAAACAAAAGAGGAAAGACATTTAATCTAACCAATTCTAATAATTATATCCCACAGATCTTGTAATTAATCCCATGGATCTTGATGTCGGAAGAAGAAATCTCAAACTGCTGCCCACGAATTGCTAACCTGTCAAAGGCGCAAGCCCCCTCCTTGCCGCGCGATTCACACACCCCCCCCCCCTTTCAAGTTGGATTGTACAAGTTGTACAATCACAACTTGCAAACAAATTTATCAAGCAGAGAGGTTGGTAGTGCCTTTATTAGAACATTAATAAGTTGTTCATGAGTTGGGGTACATATATTACTTCAATTTTCGAGTTCTTTATTTTCTCAGATATAAAGTATCTATCAACGATAACATGTTTTATTCTGTCGTACCATATTGATTGCTGGTTGATTGTCACATTTAACTTTATCGTGCCTTTAATCTTTATCTTCAATTTAATCAATACTTGTCTGATCCAAATACCTTCACAAATAGTAATTGCCAACGCTCTCAATTTAGATTACACACCGCTTCTAAAAACAACATACAATTTTTTGCTCCTCCATGTAAACTAGGTTCACCCACACAAATGAACAAAATCCTGTGGTCAATCGACTATCAACCTGGCTTCCCACCCAATCTGCATTTGAATAAATGATTAATTTCCTATCTTTATTCTTCTTGAATTAGCCCCATTCCAAGAATTATATTCTTACTTTTGTTTTCGATTATTTTGATTTCTATGAATTTATTTCTCTTAAATCTACACAAAAAAAAACATTATCTTCAAATTTCATAAGCTTTCACCGTATAAATTTGAATATATTATAGATTTGATCATTCTGAAGGATTTGATATAATTTTAATGCATTTTAAATGAAATACTGAATGATATCAAATACATGATATGGTAACTCCACGTAACACCCTACTGGTCCATGTAATTCACTGATTAGGAGTGTCATAAGGAGTTGGAGATTGATTGTAAATTATAAGAAGTCGGGGCGACTGATTCAAGTGATTCAAGGAGAATTATAAGGAATACATTGATTAAGAGTTATAAAAGGTGACTAATTGGGAGTCATAAGTGTAGCCGTGCAGGAGCAAGATACCCTTAAAATACACTCATTAAATATTTGAATACTGATACCGACACTGCTAAGAACACATTACTGATATTGTGACTGACAATAATATTATTTGCTATCATCAATACTATTTAACATTATTGATCATGATATTAATATTATTACTAGCATTAATACTGTTAATTGTTACTGATACTATAACTAATACTGTTAATTGTTACTGATACTATAACTGATGATGTAATGAATTAAGATGTGATGAACTATAGAATTATCAATTGACACAGATAATCAATAAATACATTGATGCATATATTTCTCTATATGATTTATAGCATATTATTCTTTTTTATCTATATTGATTTCAGTTGTAACATTTTAATTACTTGTTAAACTATGCGCTCATTATGTGCTTTTACATATTTTAAGAAAGGGTAAGAGTCCTATGATATCAGGCTCCGTATAATATGCATAATTTTTCTACCTGCAGTTCTAAATAAAATGCAATCATGTTTCTTTTTGTTATTCATTGGTAAGCTCTAGTTAAATGATTTAAATTGAAAGACATATATAATTCTTTCAATATTGATCCTTGAGTGTGAAAAAATAATATTAGAGCAATGATTATTGGAAGAAATAAAATATAACTAGAGCTTATGAGCGGAATGGAAATGTAAATTCTGGTTTATAATTAGTTGATTTGAGTTTGAAATTTTATTTTGAGCATGCTCTCTATTACTCTATCTTGGACAGATATAGAAATGTTGAGGACAAAATTTTTCGAAGGTGGAAAGATTATAATAATTCAAATATGTGAAATAAATTTATTAAAAATCATAAAAATTCTGAAGTAGAGTGCTTTGACGTTGATCTGATGAGCGCTACGATGCTAGGCAATGAACATTATATATATATA